ACACTATCAATTATAAAGGGTACACTAAATTTTACTTAAATAAAATTCATTTGTGTTCATATTTTTTTTAAGTACACATCTAGTATTATTAACATTGGAGAGTGGAGTTTGGAATGAAAAAAATATTCATATTCATAAATACACATAAAAATAGCTGCAGGGATGAGAGGTTGATACATAACTGATGAATTTGGATGTTATACAATATGATACGATATTAATCACTTTTTTTTTATAAATTTTTAATTCATAAACACCTACAAATATTTATGGATATTCATTGTCTGTTAATATAATTAAAAATAGACAATGATAAAAAAACACTATATATTTAGGTAATCATTTGCCTGTTTGATTTAAAATTCATACAGTAATTTGAAAGAATTAATTATGACATATTCAAACTCAAATTTTAAAGTATAAAAGGCAAGAATGGAAAAGTAGATAACCATATTCAATAAGTATTTGTGTGGCTTTTGGTATCTACATTACTCATTTATTGTAAGAAGAATATAGAGGTGACAAATTAATGATGACCTATAGTATAAGCTCTGTTGAGCAATCTTTATATTATATGTTCAGCATGGCTTATGACAAAATAACATAATTAATAAAACTTGATAATGTTGATCTGTATTTGTAAAGGTATTAAATTAGGTCAAACCTCTACTAATCAACTTTAATATTCTGACAAAATTGTGTTGGAGTAATAAATTTAAAGTCAAATTGCATATTAATTTTGACTTGGTTGGGTCTGATTTGATTTGGCCAAAATTAATGTAAAAATTGTTCTAATCTTTTCAAAATCAAATATTACATATTTTAAAAGTCTAATTCAAATATTATTTTGAAAAAAAACTTAAATTCCAATAATAATTACTTTTAAATTTTGAAGAAAAATTAATTTACAAATTTTAATATAATTAATCTAATGAAATAATTTAAACTATATTATTGAATTATAGTTATATAAATAACAAATTATTTTAGGAATAACTCATAATTTACATAAGGTTTGGCTAAACCAACAAATGATTACTCCAAGATTAAAATTTAGGAAATATTTAAAAGAATTTATAGTTTGTTTGTGAAAATAGTTTAAAATTTTTTAAAATTTATTTTAATAATTAAAATAGATTTCAGATGATAAAATTATTAAATAAATATTAATTTGTTCCATTTATTTGAACACAATACAATAATAATCGGCTATGCATTATGGTGGATGAGAATATAATAATATAATCTTAAACTAATCATAAGTCTCGTGCTTAAAATATCCTCTTGCAGTCAGTGTCTAGCCATGGGCTCAACCACCACTCATTTTAGCACTGACAATTTTTTTAATTCCCTGACATTTAAAATTATTCAATTATGTGTGGCCCATCAAATATCTTTTTGCTAAATGGGGCATCAAATATTTGATAATATTAAAAGTTATTCAATATATAACTTACACTAAATTTATAGAACTTCGTAATGCACAGCGCATCATATATATGTAGAATCTTTTTTTTAAGCCTAGATAAATTATTTTTCTTCATTTTATTAAATGGTTGTTATAATTGTAAAATAAAACTACTTTTAAACAAATGTCTACAATTTTATTCTAGATTGCAATTTGTAACATGATTCTTTTGTTGGGATAACTCTAGGTGAAGATAAAAAAGAGAGAAAAGTTTTGATAAATAAACTTTAAAAAAATAATTTCATTTTTTTATCCTTTCTTTTTATAAAATGATTAATTTTAAAAAAATTGAGAAATATGCACAACAATACTTGTTTTGAGTCTAATTGTTTATGTTCAAATTTGCATGGTTGAACATGTTACATGTATGGCTTTGTATATTTGTACAACTATCTTTTTGAAACACAATTGCGCATGTTTAAAATTGTGTACTGCATTTTATTTCAATGTTAACTTAGGCTTTTTGGTTATTATATTGAGCAAAACATGGCATGCTTATATATATATTTCATGTGTTTGTTTTTTTTTATTAAGCACATATAATAACACATAAATTTATCAAATTAGTAACAATTAAATAAATTAATGAGATTCTCAATTAAAATATAAATATTTGTTTTGTAGAAACTTAAAAAGTAGGTAAATAGCTCAAATATATAATATAAAAGAAGCTTAGTTAAGAATTTAATCTTTATAAAAATTGTCCAATTTGATTTTAGTCTTTACAAATTCTCTTTTAGAATATAGTATTTATTTTTTTATAAATTATTAGTTTTAATATTTATATTTAAAGTAATTCACTGAAATTTTGTAAAATATTAACTTTTAGTTAAATCACTAAATTGAAAGACTAAAATCAATATTCATAAAAAAAATAAGAATTATACCCTAATAAAATATTTTATAAAAATTAGGACTAAATTATGTAATTTTTGTAGGAAATAAATACTTAATTAAATCTATAAATAAATTTTTAATAAATAAATAATGATTTTAAAAAAAATAAAAATATTATTAATAATGATGATAATGATAAAATAGTAATTTTAATAATAATTGTGATAATAATGTTGAATTTGATGATGTAAAAATAAGAATAGTATCAATAATAATAATAAACTCGTGTAAAAAAATAAAACTACGAAATCACTATGCTAACAATTTCACTGCACTAATACATTTTTGCAGTGATCTTGACCCAAATGTATTTAAATGATTAAGAATTAATATCATATATATTTTGTAGATACGTGTTTCTAGATGATATAATAAAAAATAATTATCGCATAAATTGGTTTAAAAGATAATTATGTGAAAAGAGAGAGAAAGAAATGTATGAAGATGAAAATAAGAACGACAAGACTGAAAAGATATGAGGAGTACTTGCTTGAAACCAAATAGAAATAGCAAAGGGTATCTCTCTCTCTCTCTCCCTCTCCCATGTCTGAAATCCCAGTCCACCTGAATCAGAGGTTCCACATGAATTACAAGAAACAAGACCACAAAGAATGTATCAAACGTCAATTCCGAAAACTGAGTTGTCAATATTGCAAATTACAAATTCATCATCATCACCCAACCTTTGCCTCAAGGAACCATACATAACATTGCTTACTCTCAATAAAAACCTTCTAAATCTGTCACGTGATTTGTCCACGTTCACCCAACATCCTACCCCATCCCATAATCACACGTCCTTTGCCTAAAAACCACTCACTTCGCATTCCCAATCGTTTACCCTTCTCATTATACCCCCATACGCATGATCCAATACCTACGCTACACAAAAATTAGTGCAAACCCATTCCAGTTACACTTTAAAATACATGCCACCAGATAAAATGTATATAAAAAGCAGAAAAAGAAAAGAGAGAGATAGTGCTCGGCGAACCATGCTTTCCCAACTTTTCCTTTGTTATTGGTGCTACTTGCAGCCAATCCACATTCTCCGCACGCACGAAAATCCAATATAGAACAAACAAAATTTGAACAATGCTTGTTTGTTTGTTTAATAATATATGATCTAGCTCATGGATTGTAATGAAAGCCGTCCTTTTCTCAAGATTATGTATGGATTAGTTATTTAAATTTATTGGTTTATTTTAACTTTTATGATTGGGGGTTGGCTTTGTTTAGTGCCCTTAACGCTTTCCAATTCTCAGGGATAGAAGTGGTCAAACCCACAATGTATCTCGCTCCCCTCTTTCATCCCATTTCTTTTTCCATTGGGATTCCCATCCTTTTCGTCCCTTTCTTTGCAAACAAACAACACTTCATGAAAGAGAAAGCTCGCATGATTACAGTCAGCAAAGCAAAAGCCCATTTCAGCATTTTGCGGCACTTTTTCACTCTCTCTTTCCCTCAAATTGTTTGCTTTATATGTACATCAATACCCAATACCAAGTCACTTCCCTTCTCCTCCTCCTCTCACTTCATCCCTTTATAGTTCCGGAATCTCGGCACTATTCAATTCAATACTAAAATTGTATGTTCTATTTAGGTTCTCTTAAAACCCTTCATTACACTTATAGAAAACTATGTTGCTATTAGTCAAGACCTAATCAATCACTTTAAAACTTGTACCTCAAATAACTTCAAAATCCTTAACGTTTAAGCACCCTTTTTCATGTGTTTCTTGGAGAAAAATAAAAACAGTGAGAATTTGTTTAATAATTTTGAAAGAAATGAAAACACACAAGAGGGAGTTAAAATTGAAAGACTTAGAAAGAAAAATTAAACCTTTGTACTAATTAAACTGATTGTTTCTAACTTAATAATTTAATTTAACTTTTTTTTATTAAATAATAGAAATTAGTTATTATTTTTTCTTTCCTTGATAATCTAATAAGGTGTTCTTCTTTACTAAAACCCTTCTCTCCTTCGTTAATATTTTTTTTCCTACGCTTTTCTTATTTAAACCAAACATTGCATTCATTTAGATTTCGACTACCTTGACATTCTTAAAAAAAGCCTAGCAACGTATTATTCCCACTAAAATTCAGACATACAAAGAGATCGTGATTAATCTTTCTTCGCAGTTGATACGAATAAGGCAATTACTGAAACACTTTAAATTTTGTTTATCAGAAAGAAGGGTCACTCCCTTGCTTGATTTATAATGCTGCTTTTCAGAGAGGAGACAACACACTGTCGAAGTTGAATTACTTGGTGGCTGAAATATCTGCTAAGGTTGGTGTAGTGCACCAGGCGCCACTGAGTAAAATTATTAGGATATGATAAAAATTTCAAGGATTTAACTCGTGCGAGCGATAGCATGCGTAACATGACTGTATAAAGGTGTATCATTTAAGGTTGGTGAAGTATTTTAATTTAATTTTAATTAACGACGAATATACCTTTATTTTTATCTTTTTACGTTAGACATATTGTTACTTTGAAAAAAATGATTTAAATTATAAATATATAATATTGTTTTATACACACAGGGTATAAAATATTCTTCATTTTTCAGAGTCCAAAAATAAATGTAAAGTGTTTTTATATATTTTTTTGTTTTTTAATTTGGACAGTGATAAGCAGAGTGTTGTGCAAATTATTTTGGTTTATTTAAGGTGAGTGAGTGAAGTGAGAAGTGTCTCTTTAACTCCCCCAGATTAATGTGTTGAAATTCGGTTGCCTTCTCAACAGTTTACCATAAAAAAGCATACATAAGACGGCAAATGCAGTGCCAATTTTGTTTAACAATTGCGCAACCTAGCGTTTGCAGAAAGGTTCCTCGCAAAGTATAATACTGTTAATTTCATAAAACAAGAGTCTGTTACGTTAATGCACACTTAAAACTTTCGAAACTAAAGAGAATTAATTCCAAATCCTATGTATTGAATTTGGCAGTGAGATACGAGATTTGCACAAAGAGAGTCTCCAAATGAATTTTCATTATCCTTTTTGTCTCTATTCACTAACAAAATTTTGGTTTGATTTACAAAGGCAGAAGGAGGAGGATCAAAAGGGCATAATATGAGTGGTCTTGGTGTCATAAGAAGAAAGACACGACTTAGAATTAACCCGAAAGATCTTAAGCAAATCCGCGGACATTTGGCGCACTTGGGGCGAGCAATTGCTCTGCATCAGAAGCAGAATCTTGGTCAAGCCGTTAGCCTTCGTAACGGCTTCTTGTGCTTTCTGATCCCTAAACAAATAACACACACTCCACAGCGTCGTCACGGCGTGTTCCGTTGCCACGTTCGACACCTTCAAAACCTTGTTCACTATCGCCGCCACGCACGCCGTGTCCTCACATATCTCCGACCTCCCTTCCTTCGTGGACGACACCGTTTCCACCAGCTTCAGAACCTTCTCCGTCACCAAAACGCTCAAATTCGGAGCCGAAAGAAGCTTCGAGAACACCTTAACGGCTCCGAGATGCACTAGCTTCATTTTGTTCCGTTTCGGCGTTGAAATTTCCACCAAGCACGACAAGCAGTTCTCGATTAGATCCGGATCTCTGTTCGGCGTTATTTGACGGAGCAATTCGGATACCAGGCCTTCCTTTTCCGCTATCAAAAGCTTCGATTCCGCGTCTATGGCGATGGATTTCAAAACCCTAGCCGCAACGATCCTTGAATCGCAGCTTCCTTGTTGCAGGACGAGAAGCAGTGAATCTATGCTGCTATGTTTCTGTTTCTGTCCCTCACTCGGCTTCTGCAGCATCGAATTTGTGAACCCCTCGCGATCCTCCATTTTACTTAGAACCAAATCCAACGCCTTAACCACCTGTTCGAGGAACTGGACGTTCCGTTGCACTCCGCCATTGACATTGTCGAGGAAGCCAACCAGCACGGGAACGAAGCATTCCGTTCTCACAAGAAAATCGCGGTTCTCTTCGGAATCTTGTGCGAAACGGACGATTTTGGTGAGCGAGTCGAACCGGTTGTCGGTGCGAGTGTCCAACTCGGAGATGGCTAGGAGGACTTGGTCGTTGGAAAGGAGGGATTCGGTGGGGGGTGGGGACTCGGGCGAGTCGACTCGGTGACGGACCGAGTCGGACCAGATCTGGATGAGTCTCTGTAAGGTGCGATTAGGAACGAATTCTTTGCTTTGGAGGACCTGCATAGTAGCGGGGCAGGTGTTGTTCCCGTTGTCAAGCCAGCGTTGGATGCTGGAACGGTCGTAGGTTACTCCGGTGCAGAGGCTGACAGGGGATTTCATAACGTCGAGGGATATGGGGCACCGGAAGAAGCTGGGAACCGTGATGTAGAGATCGTCTCTGACCATGGTGACCGCCGTGGTGTGACTGAGAGAGAAAATAAAAGATAAAACAAAAACGCGGAAGGAACAGAGAGAGAGAGAGAGAGAGAGAGAGAGAGAGAGAGAGGTAGGCGATGGAGCGGACAAGAAAGGGGTGTTTAAAGAAGAGAGAGAGAGGGAGAGTCAAAGGTAGGGTGACGTCAGATGCTCACTTTATAGTTTTTATTTTCACTTTGAATATATTTCTTTTTTTGGGATATTAAATGCAATGGTGAACAATATTCGTTGCTTGCGTTTTGGGTCTTTGGTCAAAGAGAGAGTGGTTTATTTAATGCGGAAAGGAAAGGAGATGGCGGTGAGCGTTGGATGGGAGTGGAGGAGAGGTCACACGTGCGGAGCGAGAGAGAGAGAGAGAGAGAGAGAGAGGGTGTGTGTGCAAATAATTGAGGGGACCATAGGCATAAGGGAGTTTTTAGAATGGTAGGGCCCACCCAGGGTTCCATCGGTCGGCTCTATTACATCATCCAACCGTGGACTCGGACAAGCAAGCTCACCTATCTGCATCTCCAACTGCAAGTGGGGTTAGGGTTAACCTTCTACTCCCTCTCATTCACTTCTTATTTTTAGTCTAAATCAATTTTATATTCACATATTACGTTCAACTCTTTTCAATCATAAGTATATATTCTAAACATACTTCATTTATAATATAAATAAATTAACTCTCTTTTTTACTTTACAAAATTTATAAATGCATTATAATATATATTCATTTTAACTTCAAATCTAAATAATTATTTCACATAAAAAAAAATGCACGTGCCCCCGCCATTGGAGTAATCATTAGCTTAGTCAACCTTTGCATTTTTGCCTCGTTATGTGAAATGGATTATTAGCTTATTTTTATTATTACATTGGCTCTTGCTTTTATGTTTTATATATATATAATTAAAATCTATAAATTATTATATAACTTCTCAAAATTTATAAGTTTAGTTTAAATAATTTTTTTAGACGGATAAATAATTAATATAAAAAATAAAATTCTCTTATTTTAACACTTATCATGTATATAGTGGTGTTTTGTAACTACTCTAATATTTTATAAATTATTCTATGATTATATATTATTAAAATATTCAAATAATTTGACTATTACAATTATTACTTAAAAGTTTAAGTCTTTTATTGTTTTTCTAAATCGTCATTTACTCATTATGTAAATAACTTGATATTAGAATCGGTCAAATTTATAACATTACATTAAATACAATAAGAAAGAATATTTATTATGCTCTTATGTTTTTCCACGAAAACAAGGAAAAAATGTGTTTCATGTACTTATATTTTAAACTTTCATTTCAAAATTGCATTGATGTTTTATTGATTTTGAGTGTTGTCAGTTTAATTTGATTAATTTTTTTTAAGTTACTTAATTATAAAAATGTATTAAGTTTAATTTAAAATTTAAATATAATATAAAATGTAACATTACAATCTGATTAAAAGTGATTTGACTTGTATTAGATGATCTATATTTTGTATTTTTATTTTGCTTTTTATAATCAAAATATTTTTGTATAAACAATAAAAGTTATATGACATGAAATAAAAATTTAATTTTAATTATTGTAAAATTCATAAAATTATAAATATATTAAAATAGAATTTTGAGAATAAAATCATGAAAATAATATTTTTATTTTATAAAAATTTAATTATTCAATATAAGTATGATGTTGAATTTATAAATAAAATATATGTATATAAGTTTAAATTGAATTGGATTGTATTAGTTTTAAAATCTTATTCAATTTTTTCCACCATTTTTAACTACCATGGTTATACCTCTTTCCATTCATGCATTAATAGTTCGCTTTAAAATATAAAATTTCAAAAGGTATTTTTACTTAAATAAATAATCAAACGTCTTCTCTTCTTTTTATATTTAAATTTAAATTTAAAATTATATTCCTTTTTATTTTCTCTTCCTACGTAAAAAAAAAAAAAAAAAAACTACAAACAAAAGAAAAAATGATGAGCCATTATGGCTTGCAGCGTCATAATGGCACCGAAAGCAAACTTTTGTAGGGGAGGAACACAATTGTTGCTCCTATCCCCCATATACAGTACTAGCTGCTCTACCATTTTTCCCTTTTCTTGTTTCTTTAATTCTAATTTTCTAGTCTTCTTCTGTTCGCCATTGGCACAGTTTGAGCAACAGGCTATGCATAGCAAGCTACTGCCCTCTTTTCACGCAAGAGACATTGGAGAAAAATGCGTGGATCTGTTTCTACACATCTTAACAACAAACATTATTTTTATAATAATCGTAGCTATAACACATATCACTACTCCAATTATGATTATAAAATAGTGCTTTAATTATATTTGATTGGAGCGCACGAATTGAGTAACATAAATTGAAAAAAATGGAAAGCTGTGAGCTAGCTAGCTAGCATAGCAATTTGCATAGCATGTGAAATGTTTACGAAACGTCAAAGAAAGAGGGTGTATATGGAAGCAGTAACAGTTGTTTTTTATACCCAAAAACCCAAAGTAACGAAAGTACGTGAGTTTGCATGAAAACGACACGAGTGTAGGCGCGTGGCTTGGACGCTGCAAATATTTCAACGACGTGGACAGGGAGTGGTATTGTGATATTTGACCAAACCTCACGGTTCCATTTCTAGCTCTTGCTTAATCTAACCAAAATCCAATTTGGTATCCACATTAAGCCCAAACAGAATAAACCTAAAGTCCAATTTGGTTTAGATGCACCATACGGCACTCTTTACCACTTCCAAGTCAAACTCCATTTATCAACCACTCCCATTTGCCAAACCCCATTTACACTTACTTCACTTCGTAGTCCCACACGCTCACTACATTTCCACCGTGAATCCCAAGCTTCCAATTTCAATTTTATGGCTACTTATATTTTCAAAATGTTCACTTGGGCATATGATGGTGCCGTTTACTGTGTTCGTTTATTTTTATAGAGTATTTGTGTTGTTTTCATGGGTTCTTTTCTACTTTAATTTTTAAAAAAATATTTCAAATGAAAATTACTGAAATAAAAAAAATAACAATAAACACTTGAGAATAGCAACCAACACTCTTAATTTTTAATATTATCTCGAATACTTTATTAGCCCAAGTTATACGATCAACGCCGATACTGAGCTGTAAGTCAATAACGTGGCCAGAATAAAAATAGAAGAGGGTCTGAGAGCCTTTTTAAACATACATTTTGACTATATACATGTAAAGTGACCAACGTGTTATTCGTGGAAGATCATATATACTAGTTATACAAAATTGTCCAACGTTGAATGCCGCCTAAGTTACGGGGCAAACAAATTTAAAAGGTTAGATAATCCTATTCACATGTGGAATCTTTTTAGCACTCTCCATCACTTTTTGTCTTTTGTTATGTGAGTCTGATGTCTTTTAGATCATCTAGATAAGAAAACATGAAAACTAAATACATAAATATTTCTTTATAATTATTTGAACTTAAATGTTTTATAAATAAATTTAACTTTAAATTAATAAAATACATCCTCACTTTTTCATTTCACATATTCTTTCATTCAACTCCCTCTTCTGCAACCTGATCTAGGATATGTTCACTAAATTTTTTTGGTAGAAATAATTTTAAAAATTAAGAATTATTGTAAAAAAAACAATTATGTAGTTGAAAAAGCTAGTTTAAAAGAGTTTTTTTTTTCATATATGAATGTAGGCTTGTTTTTAAGAATTTTATACATCTCAAATCTTAAATCAATGTTACATATCAAAAATTTAAAATTTATATCAATAAATAATTATATCTAGAAAGCCATATTATATGACTGTGTACAACGTGATATAATTTGACTAACGTAAAATTTTGATATAAACTATTGAGCAATCATACTGTTGGTATAAGGCAGCACAATCTATTAACGTATATTTATGTTGTTAATAAAATTTTATATATACGTGCATTTAATTATGTTAATAGAAGTTATACCAACGAAAACAATCGCCTAATAGATAAAACTTTTTTATAGCAATTGTACAAACTCGTTAATCTAAAGACAGACATCCATTTAACAAATGTTATCCAAACAGAGTATTAAAAATGAGTTTATTATTACTATTATTTGGATTAACCCTTAAGTAGATAAAGTTTTCGTTTTAAGTTTCAAAAAATATTATTTTTAATAATACCTTTTAAAGAGGTAGAATTACCTTGATAAATAATAACATGTTATAACTTTTTTCTATTCTCATAAATATTAAATAATGAGAATTTGAAGGAAAATAGTCCTAACTTTAAATATTTGTCAAAACATAATGATTGCTTGTGTATTGGAAGTTTTAAAATAAATTATGCAAGTAAAAATGATACACCATGATACTACAAAAAATATTTGATTCTTATCTAAACGTATATATTATTTATAGCACAATATAAAAAATTTCGGCAACTGTTGTTTCCGCAAAAAAGAAAAATTTCAGAACCAAAATTGAAAATATCTTAGATAAGATTAACAATGTTTCAAAAGAATTAGACGAATTAATTTTATCATCGATTATAAAAAAATTTAAACAAAATTTATAACTAAAATAATAAATATTTATATTCCAAAAAATCAAAAAATAAATATAGAATAAAATAATTATTTTAATAATATTTTTTGTTAGTTTAAGAAAATCTCGTGTTAAAATTTGATTTAAAACTGAATCACTGTTGAGTCAACCTTCACACTTCCCAACTCTATATAATTTAGTCATTCATTAGATAATGATATGACTAACCTATTAATGGATATTTGCTTAGTGACAAGTGAGTTTTTTCCTCACGTTATTATCATAAATTCAAAGTTGTAGGGAGTCAAACTTCAATCAACTTACGTGCCACGTTCGATATAAGAGAAATTTTTTCTTATTTTATTATTATTGGTTCCATTGGTAAGGTGGTGTTGCTCCTAATTAGTTTCCACTTCCCTTCACCATGCCAAGTTCGATACAAGAGAATCCTTGCATTCAATGAATAGTTTGAAAAATGTGGAACCCTTTGCAACATTTTAAATGGTTTATTCAAGCATTGATTTGTGATTTGGCCTAATCTGAAGCGAATCACGATCCAATGGAAAACAAAATAAAATAGATAAGAAATGTTTGACATTAGACATAACACAGGCTGTAGTTGTCGTGTTGGACCCAACTACTATAGTAGCAGTCCATGAAGTTCTGTATGTAGTCATCATTTCAAATTCAAAAACGTGTTCTACTCTAAACAAATTAGACGTAAGCATTTGAATTACCAGTGATTCCGCCATATTTTAAGATACAGCAATCGGTAGAATATAAAATGATTATTTGTTTGTGTATTATTTTTGGTTTAAAGTTTGTTTTACCGTAAAAAAATATTATATTGAAATATATATATATATATTTTAAATAACTAAAAATTGATACATTACATATGTATATATATATAATGATTTAATATTATATTATTCTGTAATAATATAAAATTTTAATAAAAAATAAATTATTAGTATCAACATTTTATGTTTGTACTATACCAAACTAACAAATAATTTTATCAGTGTATAGTATTAATAT